GAGTGTTGCATGAAAGAAGTGCATGTGTATTTTCTTTCTTTTTACAACTAAACACATGCTTGTATGCAAACGTGATACAATTCTGAATCAATTTCTAACAAATTTAGCTGCTACAAAATGTTATAAATAAAAGTATTTAATATATCTGCCAAAATAACCATGAATATGGCAGGAGTTGATCATATTGCCTTTTATGTACGGCATTATGTGAAATTTCACTTTCTCGCATTTTTGCTCAGTTACCTTTTTACTATATAACTTTCTTGCTATATTATGTCACTTTCCCACCTTGTTATATCGCTCTACAGCTTTCTCATTTAGAAGTATCACTTTCTGATCTTTTGATATCGATTTATCATACCGCGCTTTCCCGTCTCTAGTTATCGCTTTCTCGGCTGGTGTTATCACTTTATCGCGGCTTTAATTTGAGGGAGAGAAAACTTTTTTAAAGTTAAAAGTTCAAAGTCACGTGTCACTAAAATGCACAGTGTGGTCAATAGGTTTCTTTCTGCCTTGAAACATATACAGAGTTCTGAAGAAGTTCTCAAGGCTGGCTTTCCAGACCAGCATGGTTTTGCGCCAGCAACTGAGCCTTTTGTCATTCCTACTGAGTTAAGAAACATTGAGTGAGTTTAATTTTACGCCTTTTTAGCAATATTGTCACGGCGGGACACACCAAATACTTCAAGTTGCATCTTTATACGGTGTTCACGTTGTGTAAGAACAACATTCACTCACTAATCCTTTCTGTCTCAGTATCTTACCTTTCGTCAAGAACGTCTTCATTCCAGGGGAATCCAGATAAGTGATATCTGTGTGGACATCGTATGTGTTATGAATATAACACGCCCCAGAGTAGAAGGAAAAACTACGGCAGGTTTTATCCTGAAAACAAAGTCCTGCACAGTCAACAAATGTGTCGTAGGCCAATTCCCGTATCCAGTCGTTCCCAACTTTATCATCTAATTCCTCCATCCGAGTGAAGCGACGAACCACGGTATGGCTGTAGGCGCATTGAAGACATACTGAAACTAGTATGGTGATCCCAATCATCTCGAGCTCACTGTGGTCACTGTCACCGTTGCTGCCAACACGGCCTCTGGTATGATTCTTATCGTCAATAGCCTCAGGAGCGAGCAACTAATCAATTTCTGAACGTATCTCTGTGATCAACCTATTGTTGGCAAAGTATAGTATTGATAATAAACCGATTGGCGAGACCCGGCATGCTAATAGACACGTGACACTCTTTAAGGGGTTGATAACGACGTTGGTTTTGGTTGTTGTTTAACGCCGCACTCAGCAGTATTCCAGCTATATGGCGGCTAAGAACCGTTGGTCGAGGAGTGAGATTGGATGTGATGTCTTTAGGCAAGAGACTTTTGAAATATGCGTCGCTTCATCAGCAATAAATGGGTACCCGGTAGGATGGTGTGTCAATGTAACTGTAAACTGGTTGGTTAGTATTCTCCTCCGTACACACTGATCTGAAGACAGGGGCAATAATGCGTTTTAATGATTTGACTCAGTGACTGAAATCTGACGTATTATAAATAGACTTATTGTTACAACGATTTTTATTGTGTCATTACAGACTAAAATAGTTTACAGCAGATAGAGTTTAGGTGGTCCTGGCTGGTTTAGATCACCATCAGCTCAGGGATCCTAGCCCCCTCTTCACGCGGCCCAGACAGCGCATGGAACGTCTCCCAGGAAGTACTGCCTTGTCGAACCCACCGAGAACTAGGCGGAAAATAGGTCCCCAACACGGAAGCCTTCTTGAGTGTCAGAAGAGCTGTTCCTCTGCGTCAAGAGATCAGGAGATATCAAACCATTGTCATCGAAATAAAAAAAAGACAAAATCAGGTTCGTTGACGTAGATGTGGCTATGTACGGGCCTAAGAATTCCAAAGAATTTCATGGTTGTCACTTCCCATGACATCTTGCCAATCACCTTGCTGTCAAGATGGACAGAGACCCGTGAAGATCTGGGTTAGAATAAACCTTCAGTAACCCATGCTTGTCGTAAGAGGCGACTAACGGGATCAGGTGGTCAGGCCCGATGGCTTGGTTGACACATGTCATCGGTTCCCAATTGCGCAAATGGATGCTCATGCTGTTGATCACTGGATAAAACTAAACTCACTCTCTCAAGATGGACAGAAAATTCAATGATATAAAACAAAATCGTTGGTTTTATCACACATACATAAATGCACACACATACATACATACATGACATACATACATACATACAATGCACACACATACATACATACATACATACATACATACTGATGTTTTACATATAGGATTTAAGACCATTTCTCATTTTATTGATAAAATGATACAGGATTTCATGCACTCAAGTGTTGGGAAAAGTGCAAGAGACAAAGGTTTAAGTTTAGATACAACTCAAGGTTGGTTTAGAACACAAAGAATCAAAAACTACCTTGGAAATGACTCCATTTACCTTGACCTACATTACTTTCAACATCAAAAGCGTACCACTTTCACGCCTCACAATGACATTAGATTCTCATTTCATTAACATCTGGTAATCATTAAGGAAAGCTGGAGGATTATTTCGTGTCTTCAGAGAGTTCTCGTCAGATGCCCTTATATAATCACAAATCCAGAGACTAAGTTCAAGGCAAGCTCAAGTTCAGAGGGGGGAGAGTTTTTTCAATTATGTTCTGTTCTTGGAGGGAGAGTGTTTCTATGTGTTTGGGTTATTGGTAGGATTTGTGGTAGGATGGGGGCCTGCTGTATCTGGACGTTTTGTTCCAATTTGGATCATTTCACTTTGGCTGTGTTTTTCGGTACAGTCCCAATGCATTCATTGTTCTTTTAGCGGATAATTCTTATGAATGTGCAAAGAAGTTTGTCGCTTCTATCAGTAACCATCATCCACACCTGGACAACTGCACCAGTAGACACACATTGTGTTCTAGAGCGCCGATACTGACTCTATAGTATTGCCAGTGCTGCAACGACATTGCGAAACATTCTTCTCATTCCCCTAAGACCACCGTTTTGTTTCCAAAGTACTGAAAATGTATGTTACAATTATTGGCTAAACATATATTCTCTGCCTGTGGCTACCCGTGAAGATCCAGGTTAGAATTGGTCTTCAATAACCCATGCGTGTCGTAAGAGACGACTAACGGGACCGGGTGGTCAGGCTCGCTGACTTGGTTGACACGTGTCATCGATTCCCAATTACGTAGATCGGTGTTCATGTTGTTAATCACTGGATTGTCTTGTCCGGGCTCGATTATTTACAGACCGCCGCCGTATAGCTGGAATATTGCGGAGTCTGGCGTAAAACTAAACTCACTCACTCTGTCTGTGGCGAGTTTGTAATTTTTGCAAGAATGTATTCAATGTCACGTCGACAAAAGCATTCTTGGTTACAATAAGCAAAGGGACCCGAATATACAACAAATGACACGAATAGGATTGTCAGTATGGTCACCATCGGGTGTTCAGTATGTGTTATGGAATCATAATTCCAATAAAGCACTGTGTGAATAAAGGGAGTTTGTTTGTCTGGGGAGTATTCAACTTGCTATCAGAATCCCCGAGACTTAACATTCCATCAACATTGTATTATGAGAAAGCTATAAATGTGTGTGAGATTTAGAAGTTTTGCAGTGAAACATTTTCGTATTATATTACATGTTATAATTATATAATATGAAGCATAGCTGCAAATACAGTTAACTGTTTCAGATCTGTTGGAGTTTGTTCTCCATAATCATGCACAAAATAGTTTAATTCTAACATCGAACCCCTGGGCATTCCCAGTAGGGGTATTGATTCCCAGTAACCCATGCCTGTCGTAAGAGGCGACTGAATAGATCAGGTGGTCAGGCTCAATGACTTGATCGAGTGCAAGTCTTCGGATCCCCCTGGATGGGACAAACACACAACGGCATACTCCATTATATTCACATTGGCATAAATCTGTTTTTGAATGTTACTCGGAAAAAAAGATATCATTTCTGACAGATTTTAGGCTTTTGAGTACACAAATCTTCAGTCGGGACGTGACTTTATTTTCAAACAATGTGACAGTACACCGTGACACAATATTGACAACCATCCATACAGAAAAACCTATACAACCACCTTTACCACAACATATTTCACAAACATACTCATGGATGACTGGGCAGGTTAGGCTCTAAAGCAGATTGAACTGTTGAGTTTTACAACCTTATATCACAAATCACAAATGTATTAATGGCACAGGGAATGCGCCAAAGCAGGAATTTATCCACTTTTCTGAAGAATGGAGTGGAACATTTGTAACACACAAGACGCCTTACTGTTTTCAGTTCAACAACTTTATTTCACAATTACACTAATGGTTGTCTGTGCGTGAAGATCCACAAAGAAGCATTTATCAAGTGTAAACAAGATTCTGAAGGACGGATGGACTAGACTATTTGCATCACACCAAAGGCCTAATCGTTGTTAGTTCTACAACGTTATATTACAAATATACTCATGGCTGACCGTGCGGGAAAGGTCCACAAAGCAAGCGTTCATCAAGTGTAGACAAGACGGGTGGACTAGACTATTTGCATCACACCAAAGGCCCAATCGTTGTTAGTTCTACAACGTTATATTACAAATATACTCATGGCTGACCGTGCGGGAAAGGTCCACAAAGCAAGCGTTCATCAAGTGTAGACAAGACGGGGGGACTAGACTATTTGCATCACACCAAAGGCCTAAGCGTTGTTAGTTCTACAACGTTATATTACAAATATACTCATGGCTGACCGTGCGGGAAAGGTCCACAAAGCAAGCGTTTATCAAGTGTAGACAAGACGGGTGGACTGGAATATTTGCATCACACCAAAAGCCTAATCGTTGTTAGTTCTACAACGTTATATTACAAATATACTCATGGCTGACCGTGCGGGAAAGGTCCACAAAGCAAGCCGTTATCAAGTGTAGACAAGACGGGTGGACTGGAATATTTGCATCACACCAAAGGCTTGAACTTTTCAGTTCAATCTAATTTCGCAAATGTACTCGTAGATCAATGAGCATGAAAGATCCAAGAAGCAGGAGTGTTTCAACTGTAAACATTGTTCTGAAGAAACAAACGGATTATCTGGATCACACCAAAGGCTTGACCTGTTGAGTCCGGATCCATCCAACCAGTCCCACGTCATGCTGGCCTCGTCCAGATAGGCACCGATTGAGCGTCTATCGTTCACTTCGTAACCTGCAGCATAAAGATTTGTAACGAGACGTTTTTTTCTTTTTAAAGTTCTTAAGGGAGTTTCTACTTGTTTTGACCACTTTCAAAATATTTCAGCAAAAATAGAGTTGCTGATCGTGATGGCACCTACTATGTAAGCTGAGAGCTCTTGTTATTTTTAGCACAAAAACAGGAAAATGTTACGACGGGTTTATCCACATGATTGTTCTGAAGGATGAAATGACTCCTTTTGGACTCCATCGAAGGCTTGAGCAATTGAGTGCGGCTTAGTCTCATGGACTTCAGGGTTATCAACCTATGCTGATCGTAATTAGCGTCTTAATGGATCAGCGGATCAGGCTGGGTGACTTAATATGCATCACTAATCTGTAGGGGCCTGACACTATGATATGAAGACCGCCATCACTGATTTGACATAGCAAGACTGCAGCGTTAAACAACAAACAAGCGCATTAATTGCCTTATCTGATATGGAAAGTGGGTTAGTGATATATTTATGCTGCAGGTTGTGGGGACCTGTTTCTACCCAGAATACCTTCTGAGAGAACATTGTTGTCAACAGTAAAACATTACTGTCACTATCACATAATATGACATATACTGAAGCATACCATTTGCCTCCATGAAGTCTTCAACCAGCTGTATTTTGTCAAGCGTTGGCAAGGTCACCAAGTCCCCACCGTCCATCTGACATTTCGATCTTGACGCAGCATTAGTCAGAGCAGAACTGGACACCCATATGCATATGTCTCCTATCTGGCTGTATGGAGACACGCATTCGGCTGTGGGGCAAAAGAAAGACGATTGCATCAAAACATAACACCACAGATGTTTTTGGCAGATAAAGAAAAGTCAACGCACGGACATGTCTGTTTAAAGTTTGTATAATATACTTTTAATCAATAGTTTAGACTCACTTAAAACACTCACTATATATATATATATATATATATGTAGTATGACCAGAAATTATTGACCATTTTAGGAATATGTTTAATTGGATTTCTAGTATAAACAACCTTGACCCGCTATCAAGTGTTTGTTTTCATTCAAAAGAGACAACTCCGTTAATCCTTTTTCATTAGTTTGTGAAGAGTTATCCCCTTTTGTTTACTTGCTAGCAGACGACATTTTCAGTGATCCTCAGTATGGATGATTTAGAGAAGAGGAAGTTGATTTTAGAGTATTATAACAAGGACATCAGATCAGCTAAAGTGATTTCAAGTAGAACAGGCATCCCTTTGTCCACTGTTTATCGTGTTTTGAAAAATATTGCAAATGGATATGGCATTGAGCACCAGGGAGGCGCAGGTAGGCCCAGAAAATTGACTGTCGGTGACAGGAGGCGCCTTGGTATTCTTGTTTCTAAAAACAAACGAAGGAGTTTAGAAAACTTAATGCTGGATATGATTGATTGAATTACTGGAGTTATGTTCTGCTAAATATTCACATTAATACGTGAGTAATGAGTGAAAAAAAATTAAAAATTACAATCTTTAAATTCTCAATAATTTCTGGTTGTACTGTATATATATATGGTTACATCGAAGACTGATTTCTCCACTAACTTGGGAGAACCAACTGCAAACCTTATGCAAATGAATTCCACGAGGATCATGCATCAAATTGCTGAAAAGCATGTGCAAATATCGTGCATGTGAACAGCTACGTTTGGTGTAAAGTTTTGTTAAGAGTTCGCCAATTCTTACTGATAACAATACTCTTTTCAACGTTACGAATTTGTTTTACAATACATCAGTTCATGTGTAAACAGTACCTATAAACAGTATGGATTATTTTGCAAATTAAGTTTAGAACAGTTGCCTGAAGTAAGTGGCTATATTTACACTAGTGAGTCTAAACTTTTGATGAGAAGTATATATGTAAGTCTTGAAAACGCTTCCGGGGTCCAGTTTGTGGGCATAAGGAGACTTTGCTTTAACGCCATCATTTGTCTGTCATACAGACTCGGAAATAAATATACCCAATATACCCATGCAAGTCTAGAATGTGTGGCAAGTCTAGATTACCACAGTTTCAGTTTCTGAAAATGTAGAAAGTCACTCGGCTCTTTTTTATTGTATTGTATTTTATTTTAATTTGATAACTTTTTCTGTAAAATATGTTCATTTCAGAGATTAGCTGTTAGCAAACACGCATATGTTCACTTTGTTGAATGCAAAATCTAACAAGATCGATATATAAAAAAGACATCTATTGCTGTTTACTTTCGTTTGTGCAACACGCCAAAGAAGTTCTGCTGATTACATCTAAATTCTTAAAAACTTACTTGCCCCTTTTATGGGACGTGCTAACTTATAACCGGTCCAACTTGTCCAACTTGTTTCCGGAGGCAATAGACTGGAAAGCCAACTTAATATTAGAGACACATTTTACCCCCATATTACCATTAAATATATTTTCCTAAGATCATAAGAAATAATATAAAACTAGTTTTTTATTAATATTTTATCAATTATTCCATTCCTTGTCAAAGATTATAAGAGGAGGTAATGTACGCAACTTTAACGTGAACACGTGTATCTAATTTACCTGTATGTTTAAGAACACGTCCCTGTACATGTGTAACAGTTGGCTGCATAAAACAAATCCACCACAATCATTATAATGATCATTCGGGCCAGATTCGAAGTCCAAGATGTCCAACAATATAAATAGTGGCAATCATTTGTTAAAGTATAATCATATCTACTTGATTGTTTGTTTCTTTTGAATTTTTAAGGAACTTTTTGAGCTTTAAGATTAAAAAAGAATAGGATTGTATTATCCAGAATATTGGACAACGAATCTTCTTAAGTATCCTACACTATGTTTAAAGGTCATATGATATAACTTGCCAATGCCGGGGACCATGGAACTATGGAATAATTTGTAAAATATTAATATAAAAGTACTTTTATATTATTTCTTTTGATCTTAGGTAGAGTTGCATGTAATGGGCAAAATGTCTTTGGCGTGTTGCACAAAAGAAAGTAAACAATAAGAGACGTCTTTTTCATATATCGATCTTGTTAGATTTTACATTCAACAAAGTGAACACATGCGTGTTTGCCGACGTTTTAGAATTCTAAATCGATTTCTAAAAAAAAAAATTTTCCACAAAATGTTAAAAACAATTAAAATTAATTGATAGGAAATTACAGGAATTGATCACTGAAAATAAGCAAACCGTTTTTCATGCACAGCATTATTGGTAATACAAGTTTCTTGCTCTATCACTTTCTCTCTTACTTATCCTGTCACTTTTTTGCTACATCTCTTTCTCCCTTTTTCTCCCTTTTGTGTCACAATCAGACTCTATCGTTTTCTCATCTCACGTTATTGCTTTCTCTTTTTGTTCAACTGACATTCACTGAACAACGTTTTCTGTCGAGGTAGCTTACGTTTCTTCAAGAACGTCTTCATTCCAGGTGAACAAGGATATGTGACATCTTTCGAATCTTGTTATCTCGCTTTCTCTCTCTCTATGTTTTTCTAGTCTAAAGCTACCACTTTCTGATTTCCTGTTATCACTGTATCATCTTGCGATATTGATTTCTTGTCTCCTGTTCTTACTTTCTTGCGGCGAGAAAGTGATGTCCCCTCTCCGCAAACCATAGCTTTTGAAGTTACGTGCCTCTAGAATGCACAGCATGGTCAATACAAGCTCTGGTTACTTCCTGCCTTTAGTTCTGGTTGTCAATACAAGCTCAGGTTACTATGTGCCTTTACGTCGGAAGAAGTTCTCAAGATTGGCTTTCCAGTACAGCACGGTTTTCCAGCAAAAGCCTTTTTTTGCATTCCTATTAAGTTAAGAAATAGCGAGTGAGTTTAGTTTTACGCCATCTTTAGCAATATTTTGGCAATATCCCGGCGGGGGACACCAGAAGTAGGATTCACACATTGTACCCATGTGGGGAATCGAACCCAGGTCTTCAGCGTGACAGGCAAGCGCTTTAACCACGAGGCTACCCAAGCGCCCCTGAGAAATATTGCAGACAATTCCCGTTGCTTTCATACCAGTGCAGAATGAGAATCAACACAGCAAGTCACATTTTTAGAACTTTGTACACATTTTGGTAAGCAACGTTTATTCACTCATACTGGCTTAGCTTTCTTTGACATTGTCTTTATCTCAGGTTATTTAAACAAAACGATACACACACACACACACACACACACAAACATTTGTATAGCGCCGATACCCAGTACAACTGCTCAAAGGCGCTTTGTTTTCCCTCGATCATTGGATGTCCATCACAACGGCACATCTTCTTTTCAATCTCATACTCCCTGGGGTGCATACAATTCTTGCTGCCTACTAGACGCACCGAGTTAATGTGGCTTTCCCATCCTTACGAGGTACCCATTCACAGCTGAGTAGACTGGGACACATAGTCACAGTACTTTGTCCAAGTTTACTGCACGTTCATGTGGGCACCATCTGGTCATCTACCAACGGATTCGTGGGTTCTTTTAAGTGCACAGGGTTGTGTACTGTACACTAGGGGTTGTGACAACACTGAAAGAGTCTGCACACAAAGTTGACTCCAAGGTTTTTTACACCCGGTCACAGGTGGGCTCGATCCCGGCACCTCCCAAGCTCGCTGGATTACTAGCCTGGCGCCTTAGACAGTTCGCCCAAAACGATGAGTGAAGAAAGATCGTATAAGGAGCATACATACTCATAACTAAAATGAGAACAAACAGCAAATTGTATCTTTAAAACGGAGCACACATTGTGTTTAAAATAACATGCACTCACCATCCATTTCTTGTACCGTAGCTTACCTTTCTTCAAGAACGTCTTCATTCCAGGTGAACCAAGATATGAGATATCTGTGTGGACATCGTATGTGTTACGAATATAACACGCCCCGGAGTAGAAGGAGAAACTATGGCAGGTTTTATTTTTAAAACAAATTCCTGCACAGTCAACAAATGTGTCGTAGGTCAATTCCCGGGTCCAGTCGTTCCCAACTTTATCATCTAATTCCTCCACCCGTGTGAAATGACGAACCACGGTATGACTGTAGGTGTACTGAAGACATGCGGAAACTAGTATGATGAGCCCATACATCTTGCTCCCAGTACAGCCTCTGGTATGGTTCTATATGACGGTATCCCACGAGCAAGGAACAAATCGATTAGTTGAGCGTCTCACTATGAACAACTTAATATTTACAATTTAAGGATCAGTTACGCAATGTTGTTCACAGAATATAGCTGGATTGGTGGCCCTGTGTGGCAGCTTGACACTGATAGCGTTCCTTCTCCACACTAGTACATAAGGTAAATGTGGTGTCTCATGCGGGAAGAGATTTTGTTTGAAATATGTTCATCAGCAGTGAAGAGTACCTGTGTAGAATGGATGCCAACTGATCCAAAGATAGGGTTGATACTGATCTTGGCACTGATAGCGCTCCTTCTCCACAGTAGTACATAATTTAAATGAGGTGTCTCATGCGGCAAGATACTTTGTTTGAAATATGTTCATCAGCAGTGAAGATCAGAGTGCCTGGATAGAATGGATGCCAACTGATCCAAAGATAGGGTTGATACTGATCTTGGCACTGATAGCGCTCCTTCTCCACAGTAGTACATAATTTAAATGAGGTGTCTCATGCGGCAAGATACTTTGTTTGAAATATGTTCATCAGCAGTGAAGAGTGCCTGGATAGAATGGATGCCAACTGATCCAAAGATAGGGTTGATACTGATCTTGGCACTGATAGCGCTCCTTCTCCACAGTAGTACATAATTTAAATGAGGTGTCTCATGCGGCAAGATACTTTGTTTGAAATATGTTCATCAGCAGTGATGAGTACCTGGGTGGAATGGATGCCAACTGATCCAAAGATAGGGTTGATTACAATGTTGAGTGAGTGAGTTAGAATTTAACGTCACCTTGGCAATATTTCAGCCATATAGTGAAGAGAAATGTTTTACATAAACAATGAATTAAAGTTGCTAAATAATCAGTCATCGAAGGACTGTAAAATAACTAGAGTATCACAGATGGAGTCTAAAACTAGCATGAACATGAACATTATTTTATTTACGAAAGACAATACAATATAAAAACGGGCTATAGATCGCCAACAACTGAAGGTAGATCACCATACTAGGAACAATGGGGATTTACATTCCTTTTGCTACCTGCATGGACCCTAGCTGGATTTACACCATCCCTTATGCCGTTGGCGATTGTAGGAATATTTAGCAACAAATTAAAATGACAAGAATACTACGCTTAAAAACACTGGACGTGAAAATTTACTTTGAAAGTTTTTGGGACTGACGTACCCTCTCAGGAGGACAATAATTTTACACTACTTCAACCCCCTTTGAGGATACAGCCACTAACAATCTAAGCTGATAATCTACACAACCAATCATTATTTGGGGAATGGAATATGGCGGATATTTATTGTAATCATCATCAGTTGTAAAGTTTATCAGGAGGTCTGTGGCCTCGTATACTAGCCACATTAAGAAACTGTGCATTGTCAAAATATTATCCCAGTTGATAAGTACGATAACAATGTCAAAGGTACATATAAACGTTAATGGAGGGATCATGAGACCATAACAAGTCAGGAGAATTTCAACTGAAAAGTCTACAAGTCTACAAGCGGGACAGGGGTCAAACGACCATGTCACAAGCTCAATAACAGGTATGTCCACCATCGGCATTGAGAACAGCAGTGCATCGACGACGCATAGAGCCTATCAAACGTTCAAGGAAGGCTTGTGGGATGTCACGCCAGATTCTCTCAAGTTCTGTTGCAAGGTCAAGGACGTTATCTGGCGGATGAGGAAGACGGCGTAGACGTCGATCCATCTCGTCCCAAACATGCTCTATCGGGGAGAGATCCGGTGAATTTGCAGGCCAAGGCAGTAAATCAACGTTGTGGTGTTGAAAGAATTCAATAGCAGCCCTTGCCGTATGAGGGCGGGCATTGTCCTGTTGGAATGTTAACCCAGGGCCATGACGTTGCAGAAAAGGAATTGCCACAGGTCGAAGAATCTGATCCCTGTAGCCCACACCAGTTAAGTTGCCGTGAACAATCACCAAAGGAGTTCTTTGGCGCGCTGTTATTCCACCCCAAATCATCACGGAACCACCACCAAAGCGATTCCTCTCCAAGCCACAGGCCTGTGCATAACGTTCTCCCACGCGTCTATAGGCACGTTGACGTCCATCACTGTGGGAAATGTTAAACCTGGACTCATCTGTAAAAACAACATTTCTCCACCAAAACAAGGGTCTGCGGACATGATTTTGGCACCACAATCGGCGAGCTTGTCGATGACGTTGTGTCAGCATAGGCCGTATGGCGGGACGTCGTAGTCTGATCCCTTGATGACGTAAACGTTGTCGAACTGTGTTGGGGTGGAATCGATGACGTCATTTGTGTTCTGGTAGCGTCTCACCAGTGCAGAAATGGTGTTCCGGTGGCAGTGGAAATGTGCAGTTACTTGTCGTTGAGACATTCCCCAAAGGACCATCCCAATGGCCTAATGACATTGTGCAGACGTGAGCCTTGGCATGCTATGCGTTTCAATAGCCGTTTAATTTTTTTTGAACGATCGCAAGGGCAGGGGTTGAGCTTTCCAAAGTGACAGTATTGTGTGGCATTCATTTGCTCTGTTTCTCTTTCCTGGAATGCACGTGCAACAACGTATTGCACGTCTCAAGGACGAACCCACTGACGTCACGGAACGTGGCACGTGCATGCATGTTGGATACATGTCACTAAACTCTGACTTTGAATCTTTATGTGTCTACACAGGTTTGATAAATTTAGATTATAAAGTTTTGTATGCACAGTTTCTTTATGTGCCTAGTATAGATGTGGGTAATTTCAGATTTCAACGTGTATTTGCTGCAGGTCACGTCGTGGAAGGCAAAACATCAGGTGAGAGACTGATAACTCCAGAAACGGAACAATTTGTAAAGGAAGACCGAAAATCGAATAGAACCTGAGGCTCGTACCTGCATAAAATAGCGTCAGAATACAAGATACCAAGTGTCCTTCATTTTGAAATGTTAACAATGGGTCGTTAATCTTAGTGAGTAGAGCACATCGGTTGCTCAAGAAAGTGTCTCGTCTCAACTGCGTGTCAACCTCACTGTTATGGCTAACTTACTGTTACATTTCACCATGATCATGAGATTGGCTTTGGGGACATATAGTCCATCATTAGTTGTCCCGTATGATTATAGCCAGGGACGTTTTGACCAAAAAATCTTTGTTTTGGTTTTGACTCAAAACCCTACACAAAAAGTAAGGAGTAAATGTCATCGATCGAGATACGCTTTGAATTTATGGTCATTTTTTTTAGAAAATTTCAGCGAAATCGAAGCGTGATACCTTAAGAATATATATCAGTGAAAACTAAACAATGTTGCTTACATTCACGAGGAGCTGGTGAATGACAAAATTCACAGATGTAGGTGTTACGTTTATAGCTCCTGTTTTGGCAGAAATAGTTAAAACCCTCAATCTGTTTCATATTTTATCAGTAATAATCATTTTCTTACTCATCTCCGGCGTAAATTTGAGGTTTTCTTCATATGTTACAGTATCGAACGAGCGGAGGTAATTGTTTTTTGTTAACTTTGTTTGTTTGTTTATTGTTTAACGCCGCACTCAGCAATATTTCAGGTAACTGCTGTATGAAGTATATGATCGACCACGAAGGCCATGCTTGTATGCAGGCTACAGCAGTTGTAAGTTACTTATAACTTTATACTTCTTCGTTGTTCCGGGGCGGTTAAAGCATCTTTCTAGTCAGGCCGAAGACCTTGGTTCAGTTCCCCTACAAGGGCAAAATGTGTGAAGCCCATTTCTGGTGACCCACGCCGTGATATTGCTAGAATTAAGAAATAAGGTTGGTTGTGCATATGTACTTTTAGAAGTCGGACGTAGTGTAGGTTTCATTTGTTTGCATTCAATCTGACACAATTCCATATTCTGATGAATGAAAGAGAATAAAGAGAAGAAGACAGAAAGAAGAATGAATAAAGAATAATTTTAATAAGTGTGGTCTCTAACAGTATATGCAATTATACTTCAGAAAATATTTTTTTAGGAATTTTACTGTGTTTCATTCTTTGGCAATCATCGCACTGTACTAGATACTTCCCTTTATAAAACACTGTTTAAATAAACGTAACCTGTTAGCTGGCCCATTATCAATAGAATCCTTGGATGTCAAATACCAAAGAGGTACATGACGCCGTCATTTGGCGAAGTAATGCTTTCTCTTATTTTTAGAACGGTAAGGGAATGATCATCAATAACCACAGAGAAAAGAATGTCCAATTACAATATGTGACACAAAGAACGCTTCTTGAAAGAAGCTATCACACAAAAAGTTTGAGGAAGTTTTTGTTTACGTGTACAAGTGTTTCAGGACAGTTTGCATCTGCACACTTCATACATGACCATGACACCAGCTGCTGATTGCAACTTTAAACTTTGAACTAGAAAACGGTTTCCTTACCTCGGTTTAAATAACCCCTACCATCTACAACTTTTACTGAATTTTACAAAACTGCCTCCAGTTATCTTAAAAACTACTTTATAAATCCTTCATTTAATGTATAGTGATTCTACTTCATACGTCACGTTTAGACTGGGATCGAGACACTATTTTAATCTTCAAGTATAAATTACCAGAAAACTCTCCTATTTATAATGACGATGATAAAGATGGTATATCTGTATTATATAGAAGACTACATATCAACTATACGATGTGATTATCCTGTAGACCATATACTTCTGTCTGGAGACTTCAGTGCCAGGATGAAGGATTTTCTCGACTACATCCCTGATGACAAATTAGGTTGCATTTATGATTCAGCAGATGATGAGTTTGATACTCCCCAAACAAGCAGACTTTCATTTCCACAATAATTATGGCATTAAATTGTCTGAATTTTGTCAAACATTTGGAATCCATACCTTTAACGACCGGCTCCACAATAATAAATCTGGTGTGTTTACTTGTATCACTCACAATGGCTCCAGTGTTGTGGACTATATGATTGGAAGCTCATCATTATTCCACAAGGTTAGACATTTTTGGATAGGTAATCTGGACCATTCATGTCATTTTCTCCTCTACTGCACTCTTGATATTGCATGTGCTCTGTCTAACTCTGAATGTACCACAACGTCTAATACAGATGCTAATCAGCAGGCCACTACTGAGGAGGATTCATGGGTTAGGTATGTATGGTCTAAGGACTGTAATAGTCAGTTTGCAACAGAGTTTTGCCTGTTACACTAACTGACCTTGTGTATACCAATATTGATGAAGCAGTTAATCTCTTAGTTAGTGTGATACAGTATGGTAGCTTTGATAAAGCACAGGGACAGATCCCAGCACCCATGGTATGATGCAGAGCTGGAACAACTAAAACACAACAAATATTCTGCATTACGTGCACATAGAGACAATAATCAGGACTTGGATATATTTCGACAACTGCAGAAACTATTTAAAAAACATTCATATCCAAAAAGGAGAATTATCAGTGTAAGCAGAGACAGAAACTAGTGGATTCCAGCAGTGACTCGAGCCAATTTTGGAAATTATTGAAACGACATAGAATGTGTGACAGTCTTGACTCATCTATCTCATGTATTCAGTGGTTTAATCACTTTCTATCATTACTTTATGTTGACCAGCCTGATGTTTTACCTATTGTTTCACCACATGTTGTAAACGCTACTGATGTGTCAATACTTAATGCTGCTATTACTGAGCAGGAAGTTTTGTTTCACATTTTACATTCTCCTAACAATAGGTCCCCTGGACCTGATGTTATAGCAAATGAGTTTCTTAAAGCACCAAGTGCCGCCATTGTACCTTTTCTTACAGTACTGTTTAATCAGATATTTGACAGTGGTAATTTTCCATGTGGTTGGGGCAAGAGTATTATATGCCCTCTGTTCAAATCTGGCTGTAAAAGTAACCCAAATAATTATAGGGGTATATCTCTTATCGATTCTGTGTGAAGCCCATTTCTGGTGTCCCCCGCCTTGATGTTGCTGGAATATTGCTAAAAGCGGCGTAAAACCAAACTCAGTCAGTCAGTCAGTCTTATCGATTCTATTTGTAAAACATTTTCCTATATTTTGAATAAGCGTTTAAACTCATGGTGCGATGCACATGAAATTATTAATGATCCCCAGGCAGGCTTCAGAGCAGGGTATTCCCCAATTGATCACAGTTTTTCTCTTCAGGCTTTAGATCCAAAAGATTCTGGTAAAAAAAGAGGTAGATTTTATTGCCTTTTTATTGATTTCTCAAAGGCTTTTGACACAATAAGACATGATGTTCCCTTGCAATCTTTAGCTGAAGTTGGTATTTCTGCTATTTTAAAAAAAATAATATCATCAATGCACAGCAACTTATCTGCATGTGTTAGAACCTCAAAGGGTTTATCTAAGTGTTTTACATGTAATATTGGTACCCGTCAGGGTTGTGTGTTAAGTCTACAGCTGTTTATCATATTTATTAGTTGTTTTCCTTAATGGAACAGGAAGGTGATATAGGTGGTAATGTTTCATCTGATTTTAACAATTTGTGTTCACTTATGTTTGCTGATGGTGTGTCTGCACTTTATGATACATGTAATCAGTTACAACAGAAGATAAATGCACTTGAATGTTTTTGTAAACAAACTGGAATGTCAATTAATCTTAGTGAAACAAAGGGTTTTGTTTTTAGAAAGGGTGGGCCATTACGGGAATATGAAAAGTGGTTCTATAATAGTAATCCTATTGAAACAGTATCCTTATAAATATCAAGGACTTGTATTTACACCAAAACTTGTATGGAGTAAAGCTCAAAGCTGTCTTGTATCTCAAGATAACAAGGCAATATTATCTGTAAACGGTTTTCCAAAAAAGATGGGATGAGTAAATTGTAAAGACTTGTTTAATATTTTTGACTCTATCATTTCACCTGTTTTGTGTTATGGGTCTGAGATTTGGGGTACTAACTATAGTAGCATCATTGAGTCTGTTCAGGTAAAATTTTGTAAATATTTTTTGAAAGTTGGTAAATCTACCTGTAATAACATGGCTCTTGGTGATTTCCTCTACAAAGTACTTATATGACTAAAGTAATTAAATACTGGTGTCACCTATTGTATATGCCTGCCAAAACATTGTTATATTATGCTCAAGTCCTCAGATGATGTTGGCCGCACTACTTGGGCAGAAATATTTTCTTTAAGTATGGTTTTGGCTATGCATGGATCAGTCAGGATGTTGGCAATGTTGATTATTTCATATCCTTGTTTAAGCAGAGACTTTCGGATAATCTTAAAAAATGTTGGTTCACTTCAATTCAAAATTCTAATAAATGTTTTTATTACTCCCAATTTAAGACATTTTTAAATGTGGAAAGGTATTTAAATTCTGATATTCCTTTAGATCTCAGATCTGCACTCTCTAAATTAAGATGTGGTAATTTTAATTTAGCTGTTGAAACTGGAAGATACAATCAAGTTAATTACAATGAGAAATTATGATTATTTTGTGAATTGGATGACAAAAATGTTATTGCAGATGAATTTCATGTACTCCTTAAGTGTGAACGTTTTTCTGATTTAAAGTTAAGATATATTCAGATATATTTGACTGATGTTGATCCAAATGCTTGTTTTATTAACATTATGAAAACACATAATGACTGTATCATTAAAGATGTAAGTATTTTTCTGTATCCTGTACTTCAGCGCATTAGAAATGTTCCTCTTACACAGCATGTGCACTAAACTATCTATATCATATGCACATGACTGTATGATGGGCCTGTGGCCTTTTACTGAATAAACTTGTCTGTATGTCTGTCAACTTTAATGACGTCATGTTGGAATTATTAACAAAGGCGGTACTACTCTCAGAAAATTATGTGCCTCCAGGTACCACACTCCTGCGCAGTGACTTTGCATAACATCATTACCACAGGTTAATTTGCATATCACGTGACCGGACTTTTCGTTTGTTTGTAAGCAAAAGCTCATATTCGTTAATTAGAAGAGACTGTGGTCTGATGCAAATTTTTGCTGTGCTTTTCTTATTACTTTACATTGTTACATGAATATTCTTCCACAGCTGCGACAGTAAGGTTTATGACAATACGTATTTATATGTCAAAGTGGCTGCCTCGTGTGCTCTCTGTAGGGCTTCGATGACAGCACGTTCAATGCAGTACGAATGAAAGTATTGTGCTTATAACAATACACGTGTAAATCACTTCAGGTTTTAACCCGGACAATGATACATACACATACAGAATCAAAACTACCTTATACTTCAGGTTTTCAGATGTCACTTCCGGTTTGGAGTAAAGTCCTGTCGTAATACCTATGTTATCTGGCATCTGATAACAAACACACAATGAAACAAAACTACCTTAGAAATGACGGTCCCACTCCAATGCACCTTCATTATCTTCGCCCTCAAAAGCAAAGAACTTAAACGCCGCAAGATAACATTAGATTTTCATCTCATTAACAACCGGTAGCCATTGGAGCAGGGTGAAGGACTATTGCGGGGCTGATAATCATAAATCCGCAGACTATGGTAGAAGTTGAAGTGAGTGAGTTTGGTTTTACGCCGCTTTAAACAATATTCCAGCAAAATCTCGGCGGGGGACACCAGAAATGGGCTTCACATTGTACCCATGTGAGGAATCGAACCCGGGACTTTGGCGTGACGAGCGAACGATTTAACCACTAGGCTACCCCCACCGCCCGGCAACGAGCTCTGTTCCAGCTTTCATGCTGAAATGATACTGCAACTTGGTGTCTTTGTTTGTCTTGAGTAGTCAACAATTTTAATGTACATAATGCACAGGGGCCTCGACATAAGAATGGAAACAATTTCTGTATGATAAAGAATGGCAAACTGACAGAATAAAACACATATTTCCAGCAATTCTGGAATAAAGCTGTATTATCTTATACAACACAAAGACATTTCATTGTACAAGTCTTAAAACGTCACTCAGTTACAGACTTTGCATAACGCAGTGTCAAAGTTTGTACAATATTGTGGATGCCACTCACGAGGTGACACATATGCTTCCAGAAAAGTTGGCGACTATTTTGGAAATCGTATTCTTACCATTTGTCGTAAGTAACGATGCCATTGTTAGCGGAACTCTTGATCAAACTAGTGACCATTGGTGACGTTGTCCAGGAGTAGATGATGTTGTAATTACAGAAGAATTTGAATTCAAGAACAAGCACAAGAAATAAAAATGAAAGAAAATAACAAACACATTTCCCATCAACTCTCCTTACACAACTTAGCCAGATTAACTTGGTTAGCACAACAACGCAAGAGTAACCGTAGACGACAGTCCGTAGACACTACCACATATTACCCAGTCATGGGTGACTGCATGAAAGGTTCACAAGCAAGCGTTTATCTACAGTAAACAAAGTTCTGAAGGTGGGACAAGAATAATGCACTACGCCAAACTTTAAGGCATGAGCCTTTATGTTCTACAGCCTTATTTCACAAATGTACTCATGAGGGTAGGTGCAGGGACGGTCCATCCAACAGAAGGAATTTCCCATCTGTAAACAAATTTCTGAAGTTTGGATTAGATTATTTGGATCACACCAGTTTGAGCTATTGAGTGCGGATCCATCGAGCCAGTTCCACTTCAAACTGGCCACGTCCAGATAGGCCCCAACAGAGCGTCTTGTGTTAACTTTAAAACCTGTAAGACATAAGGAATTGTTCGAGATATTTGCTTTATCCACATGGGAGCAGGGGCTGTTTCTAAAAGATTGCATCAAAATTAAAGTTACTCATCATGATAGTACCTACTACGTAAGGACACAACTCATTTCTTTATTATTTTGACACATAAACAGGAAACCACAAAGAAATTATCCTCGTGGGTTATTATTGGTCCCAGCGTTTCTATGCTGACCGGTTTGTAAGACCACATCATTCAGTGTATTCGATTATTGCCAGAGTTTTAATTGTAGAATGTTTGTAAATTTAATTTATGGCTAAATTGCTCAAACTTCGCCAACAGCTGAATAGATGATGTAAATCCAGCTATGTCACATGCAGGTAGCAAAGTACTGTAAGTCCCCATGGTCCCTAGTATGGTGATCTACCTTCAGTTGCTGGCGATCTATAGCCCAGTTTTATATTGTGTTTTGCGGAAATGATTAAGCATTTTACACTAAACTCAAACTAGTTTCAATTATGTGATAATCTAGTTGTTGTATTGTCATTTGCTGACAGCTTTTTTTTTGAAAAAGTACTAAAATATTTATTTTCAATATATGACTTTTTGTCGTCACATATAGCTGAAATATTGCGATGTGACGTACAATTTTAACTCAATCACTCACCCACCGGAAGTGGCTACTTGATGGATGAACAGTTTAGGCTGGATCACTAATTGCAAGAACTGATCTTCAGTAACCCATGTTAACGGGATCGGGTGGTCAGGCTCGCTGACTTGGACAACACATGTCATCGTATCCCACAAGCGTAGATCGATGCTCAGGCTGTTGATCACTGGATTGTCTGGTCCAGACTCGATTATGTACATACTGCCGCCATATAGCTGATCACTCACTCACTCACTCACTTCTACCTGGAATGCCCCTGAAGTGAATATTGTTAACAACAGAAAAAAACATTACAGTGTCGTTATCATATACTAGCCACATAAAGAAACTGTGCATTGTCAAAATATTATCCCAGTTGATAAGTACGATAACAATGTCAAAGGTACATATAAACTTTAATGGAGGGATCATGAGACCATAACAAGTCGGGAGAATTTCAATTGAAAAGTCAATCACAATGACGTCACGAGTCCACAAGCGGGACAGGGGTCAAACGACCATGTCACAAGCTCAATAACGGGTATGTCCACCATCGGCATTGAGAACAGCAGTGCATTGAGAACGACGCATAGAGCCTATCAAACGTTCAAGGATGGGATGTCACGCCAGATTCTCTCAAGTTCTGTTGCAAGGTCAAGGACGTTATCTGGCGGATGAGGAAGACGGCGTAGACGTCGATCCATCTCGTCCCAAACATGCTCTATCGGGGAGAGATCCGGTGAATTTGCAGGCCAAGGCAGTAAGTCAACGTTGTGGTGTTGCAAGAAATCCATAGCAACCCTTGCCGTATGAGGGCGGGCATTGTCCTGTTGGAATGTTAACCCAGGCCATGACGTTGCAGAAAAGGAATTGCCACAGGTCGAAGAATCTGATCCCTGTAGCCCACACCAGTTAAGTTGCCCTGAACAATCACCAAAGGAGTTCTTTGGCGTGCTGTTATTCCACCCCAAATCATCACGGAACCACCACCAATGCGATTCCTCTCCAAGACACAGGCCTGTGCATAACGTTCTCCCACGCGTCTATAGGCACGTTGACGTCCATCACTATTGGAAATGTTAAACCTGGAGTCATCTGTAAAAACAACATTCTCCACCAAAACAAGGGTCTGCAGACATGATTTTGTCACCACATTCGGCGAGCTTGTCGATGACGTTGTGTCAGGATAGGCCGTATGGCGGGACGTCGTGGTCTGATCCCGTGATGACGTAAACGTTGTCGAACTGTGTCGGGGTGGATACGGCGAAGTCCCGGCATGGTTCGGGAAGTCATCACTGCAGTCTGAAACCTGTGGCGAAGATGGGTCACCCTTATCAATCTGTCCTATCTTGGCGTTGTTACACGTGGACGTCCAGAACGTGGCCGATCGATGACGTCTTTGTGTTCTGGTAGCGTCTCACCAGTGCAGAAATGGTGTTCCGGTGGCAGTGGAAATGTGCAGCTACTTGTCGTTGAGACATTCCCCAAAGGACCATCCCAATGGCCTCATGACATTGTGCAGACGTGAGCCTTGGCATGCTATGCGTTTCAATAGCCGTTTAATTTTTTGAACGATCGCAAGGGCAGGGGTTGAGCTTTTCCAAAGTGGCAGTATCGTGTGGCATTCATTTGCTCTGTTTCTCTTTCCCGGAATGCACGTGCAACAACGAATGGCACGTCTCAAGGACGAACCCACTGACGTCACGGAACGTGGCACGTGCATGCATGTTGGATACATGTCACTAATCTCTGAGTTTAAATCCTTATGTGTCTACACAGGTTTGATAAATTTAGATTATAAATTTTTGTATGCACAGTTTCTTTATGTGCCTAGTATATAATATGTAGAATAATGCACGCATACCATTTGCCTCCATGAAGTCTTCAACCAGCTGTATTTTGTCAAGCGTTGGCAAAGTCACCAAGTCGCCACCGTCCATCTGACATTTCGATCTTGACGCCTCATTAGCCAGAGCGGAACTGGACACCCATATGCATATGTCTCCTATCTGGCTGTATGGAGAGACACATTCGGCTGTGGGGCAAAAGAAAGTCGATTGCATGAAAACGTAACACAACAGTTCTGCTACTGTTTCAGATCCCTCGAACGCGGAGATTTGTGGTTATGTTTGTCCGTTTGAAAGACCTATTATAATGTATTTAAGCCTCAGAAGGTCTCAGGGGCCTAATCTAACCTGGACCACATAACGTCAGAAATAGAGGCGATTTTATTAAGAGATGTTGCTACATCACCTTCAGTTACCACCTCGAGAAGGTGATAAAGCTGTGGTGCGTGTCTCAAATTATGGTTTTATCTGGGAAGAGAGAGACATAGGGAAAGACGGGCTAGTGACAATATTGGCTAATTACTTCATTTGTGGCGGCGGTGGGGTAGCCTAGTGGTTAAAGCGTTCGCTCGTAACGTTGAAGACCCGGGTTCGATTCCCCACATGGGTACAATATGTGTAGCCCATTTCTGGTGTCCCTCGCCGTGATATTGCTGGAATATTGCTAAAAGCGGCGTAAAACCCAACTCTCCCACTCCCACTTGATGACACATCTATAATTTTCACCACGCGGCCCAAGAGGATATACACAACGAACATCAACAATACATCTATACAGATGTCTTTACTTTGAGAACCAGGTGATTTTTTTAAACACTATGAGCTTTGATACTGTAAGCTTGTGTTATGTTATTGAGTTTATTAGTATTGAGTGTGGGTTTTGGCTCGCATCTCGCTTCATATATGTTCCATGGCAATAGTATTTGTAGTGGCAGGCCTTTTTGATAGCGCTTCAGAGTTGCGCCCTTGACTAGCTCGTATTTGTTTTGACTTCCGGTCGTGTGTTCGAGAAAATCGCCTTATGTTCTGAGAGAATAATGATGGAGCCTAGCTAGCTTTCCTAGAATGCTCGAGAACTGTGTAAAAGCTTTATAAAGGCTGGATATTGAGTTGTGCGATGCGACTTTTCACATGACTGGATTTATACACATCTGTCTGCCATCATCAAGTTGTTCAACGTGCTTGTCTAATCAACTGCTGTCATTCTAAACAACCTTCAATCAGTATATCTGTTCTCACTGTAAATGTTAAGACTAATATTTTATATTTGTGACACACTATTTTAAATTTGTGACTCAAATGCATCCTACTAGAAATCTGTGTTGCCATTCATTGTAGCTTGCTCATTGTTTGTTCGATATATTATTGAATATTTTAGACTTGTCGGTATTCTTTTTTGCTGGTTCAAAGGGGACTCTTAAACCTTTTGTCACGGCAAATTATTAATCGTAACATATCTGAGATGTGTTTGACCGCACAGACCAAGTCGGTCTGAAAAACAAAGACCTCTGATAGAGGATATTATGTATTGTATTATTGTATTAAAATACGATGGCGTTTGACATTACACTTCGGTCTTTCGGTAGGCATGAATGATATTCTAAAACCAGTATATATTTGACTGTAACCTTTTAAATGACTTTAACCGTCTGTGTCAGGTCGGACTAAATATTTTTGACAGATTTTCTTAAAGGTCACATGCAACGTAAAACACAACTTTGCAGCTTCTGATACCTTTCGGCATGGACTTACAGATACAAATCATTAAAAATGCAAATTCAACTTATACAGTTGAAAAAAACGCGATGAAAAAAAATCCTGTGAAATCGGAGTTCAAACGATTCACTAAAGTGGTGAAAAGTGGTTTCAACAGCCGTGCTGCGCTGCGCTGGGCCGCGCTCATAGCGCATGCGCAGTGAATAGCTTCGCTCAGCTTGGAAGCGGGATGTCCGGATTATAAGGTCGTGAGCAGGAGTAGTCTAATCAAACCAAATAGAAAATAATCTACTCTTTGCATAAAGGAACCTTGTTAGGATTTAGATCTACTCAGCTATGTGTCAACCAGTAAGGTGTTCGACATTTCAAGACGGAAAACTTTCGCTGGCGGTGAGTAGTCGGGGAAGGCTTTGGTGTCAGCTATTTTTGTAATGTTTTGTTGATATTTCACAGGCGCGAGCTTTTTATATGTTATAACAGTAGATCACCGATTTAACAATTTATATAATTGCATTTGTCTTTTTTACCACACGTTCTTCTTACCGAGTCACTTTCTCAGTTCGATACTTAAAAGCAATGCCATTATTTAGCATTGACAGAATTTCTAACTGTGATATAGATATGTCTTTGTCACAGTCAAAACTCAATGTCTGTTTTATTGACACCTATGTGTCTGCCTGGCTGTCTGCTAATGACAATATGCAATACACAATTTCGATCACTGACCACATGCAATTTGAACTTAACACCTGTTAGGCTATACACCATAAACAAAACGCATTGATTTATGGCTCGTGCAACCGAGTTCCGTCTCTGTCATATGATGTAATTACATAGACAGGCAGGTGTGATATTTGTACACATGACATGTTATGATGTCTGTTGATTGCAAATGTTATACACAAAAAATGAGCACGTATTTACAAAACCCAACGTCTCTATATACACACACAATGAGCCGTGCACACTCCGGCACAGTGATGACTCAGCATAACATCACTGCCACAGGCTAATTTGCATATCACATGACCGGACTTTTTCTCTTGTGTCTAAACAAACGCACATAATCATAATCAGGAGAGACTGGCCTTACGCAAGCTTTTCGGCGCGCTCTTCACAATGTTTTACATTATTACATATATATTCTTCCACATCTACGGCAGTAAGGTTTATGACAGTACATATTTAGATATCGAACTGGCTGTCATCGTTTGCTCTCCGTCGACTTCGATAACAGCACGTGGAGCCGTAAAACCCATGTAAATAAAGGATCGCTACGCAAATCGAAATAGTGTTACACGTTTTAGGATATTTTCTCAGTGAAACTAAACCATTCTAACAATGATGATTGATTAGATGTGTAGACTCATCAACAATAAAATAGTTAAGAAATATGTACATTATATTGAATGGACTGTGTAAGATGTGACGAATCCTCACATCTTTCTGGCCTGTGGCAGAGGTACTATGCTGGATGGCCGCATGGAACTCTGGGTAGGAGAGGGCATCAGCAAATGAACCAGCCAATGAAAGACTTCGTTACACTTGAGTGCACACCCCACCCGCTCTGACTGGGTTCGGTATCCCGGGTGCTTCGTTTCGAGGGAAGTAAACCCAAGTACAAAATATTGCACTTTTGATTTGCGATTGTACGCTTATAAGTTAGTTTATATGTATATAAATGTATATCATCTGTCACAAATAAGTGATAATTGTGTTTTATTTATGTTTGATGTTTTGGTTGCATGTGACCTTTAAAACAAGACATTAAAATGGCTTCACTTTAACGATGACTTATAACACGATGAAACAGTCACGTAATAAAGTGTGGGATAGATACAATACTTACAATACAATATAGATGTAAACGAATTTGATGATAGATCAGTCAGATTAAGGTTAATTGTACGAGCCTGGGACAAGATGGATCGAACACCTCTGGTTCAGTCCTGTACATACGTATTCCGTGTTTAGGGCACCGAGTGTTTTGAAAATAAAACTCACTTCAGTCGGCGTATTGTGAACACTGTCTATTGTGATATTTTACACTAAAGTATATCAGAGATCAATCAGCACATGACATTAAGAGAATCATGTGTAACTCTGCAGGTGATTATTAGCAAAGGAAATGCTTCAGTTGTCAATATCCGGGTTCGTTCGTCTTACGGTGAAAAGGTGTTGTCGACATAGACAATTCTCCTATAGTCCGTTTGGCTCAAAAGCGGACCGATGAATTGCAATCTAACTCGAAAACTAATAAACATAAAATACTCAGTGAAACACTGATCATAATCAAAACCTCAGACCAACTCTGTGAGGTTTTTGCAGAATTTATGTCCTAAAATTACAAAAGTTGTTTGACAAACTATCATTAATATCGACCCAATTCAATATATGTTACGAGGGACGAGTGCAGAGAAAGGGACAGCCAGGTGTGCGAGAAAGGATGGAGACGGCACAGTACAAGTTAATGAATCAATAACGTTGTCGGCACTAGTGCACGTGCTTCTCTAACACGCTGTCCCTTTCTCTGCACTCCTCCCTCGTAACACATGGTGAACTGGGTCAAAATTTTAATGATAGTTTCTTAAACAACTTTTTTAAGTTCAGAACATAAATTCTGCAAACAAATCACAGAGTGGGTGGGTTTTGATTATGATCATCGTTTCATTGAGTATTCTATGTTTATCAGTTTTCGAGTTAGATTGCAATTCATCGGTCCGCTTTTGAGCCAAACGGACTATACAGTACATTGATTTCTAACAGCGATTTTTATAACCTTAATAGTTCTAGATCTTCAATCTATATTAAATCGCGGTCCTCCAACATTCGACAATATCCACTTCAAAGTAAAACAAGCATGCTGTGTTGCTTCAGCACTGAATCAATAAAAGTTAATTTGGGAGCCCCAAAACGTCAATTAAGGACTGAAAAGTAACTAAATCAATGCCACTTCCTGCTTAGGACATCAAAGTTCAAACCGTAAGGTCAGTTTAAAATCTCCCCACACACAGAAAACACGTAGCGTCCAAACACTGAATCTTTTTGTGGATACTCTCGATATGTAGTCATGGTTACCACTTTGTCACTTTGTTAAATATGCATTTGTTTACATATTCAAGTCAAAACTATGGGTAAAACTATGTATTTTTGAACAATGGAGATGTATTTGAGGTAGTTAACAGATATTCATATCGTTAAGTCTTTTCATGATGACATGGATTTCGTAGTAGCAATATGGTTTATATACTGCCGATGTGACTTGAGGTTTTATCCCACTCACTCACACACTAATGTTGACTAAAGGTTAGAGAATGTGTAAAAGGTATGTGTTAGGCGTATATATGTTCATTACGAGAACCTACAGAAAGTAGCATATTTAAAACCGTGCACACATTGTGTTTAAACCAACATACACTCACTGTCCTTTTCTATCACAATAGCTTACCTTTCTTCAAGAACGTCTTCATTCCAGGTGAACCCAGATATAAGATATCTGTGTGGACATCGTATGTGTTACGAATATAACACGCCCCGGAGTAGAAGGAGAAACTATGGCAGGTTTTATTCTGAAAACAAAGTCCCGCACAGTCAACAAATGTGTCGTAGGCCAATTCCCGAATCCAGTTGTTCCCAACTCTATCATCTAATTCCTCCGCCCTTGTGAAATGACGAACCACGGTATGGCTGTAGGTGTACTGAAGACAGAAGGAGACTAGAATGGTGAGCCCAATCATCTCAGAATGTTAGAATGGTACTGTTGCTGCAAGTATAGCCTCTTGTATGGCTGAGTATAAGAGTGGCAACAAGAGTCAAGGAACAAATTGATTTGTTGATGGTATCTCTATGTTGGTAACTAAAGAGACTGGCCAGTTACATTCAACACATCCTTTTCACTTTATTAATGAAAATACACGGACAATTTAGTCAATATACATCGATGTCTTGTTGGTAACTAAAGAGACTGGCCAGTTACATTCAGCACATCCTTTTCACTTTATTAATAAAAATACACGGACAGTTTGATGTAGATGACGTAGGTGAAGTCAAACCATGTATAGTAATCATCCGAAATTATGCTATATATGCCCCAAACCAACCCACAGGCTGAAAACAGGATATCCATGGCACTTATAGTGGTGAGGTAGAGATTGGTCGAGCTCCGGGCCTGTGACATGAACACTGCGATGTTGAAACCATTCAAGACGATTGCCAGCACATACAGGAATACATGTATTGGAACAACATACGTTTCAAAATCAAATATTATTTCCTTTGAAATTAGCCCTTTGGGCAGGTGCCCCATTCTTCAAAGAAGTGAGGCGGTGGGGTAGCCTAGTGGTTAAAGCATTGGCTCGTCACGCAGAAGACCCGGGTTCGAAGCCCATTTCTGGTGTCCCCCGCCGTGATGTTGCTGGAATATTGCTAAAAGCGGCGTAAAACCAAACTCAGTGAGTCAGTCTTCAAAGAAGTCCCTTCCACATGATCTGATGAACAGTTGGAGGTATTATTGCAAGCGCCATCTGAGGATGTTGGCATTGGCGTTGTTTCTTCAACGGGTCGGTTACTGCTTAGCTCCTTCAGCGTTGTGTCAGTTCTTGTTGTGTTGTCATCAGCTAAAAGCTTGTGGTTGTAACATTTATAACATTGCCTTTTGCGGTGAGCATCTGTCCAAGGGTGGAAACAAGCAAGAACACCACGAGCGCGAGGACTCCCGACATGTTTGCGTGTGACTTCACAAATCCTTCAGCGGCCTTTTATAAGCATTTAACATTTATTGCGAGTCATTTTTAATGTTGAGCGTATAACGTTATGCACAAGCACATAAACCCAATTCATATTCACTTATGTCGTTCAGATATCAGGCTGTATTTTCTTTGTTCACACTTTCCATAAAGATGCCACATTAAAAAAATCGTAGCACAGTGCTTTTATCGGTGCGCGATAAAAAGCGGATAAATTTACTATTTGTTAACGCATAACAAACTTTGGACAACATTTAGCAGTGTCTATTTCTCAAACCGCCGAGGTAGTTGCACTTATATTTATACCAACGGATAGGGAATTTTATATTCTACATTTCTGTGTAATTGTATAGCCGTACGTAGATCCAGGACCACGCGAGCGCAATTCTCGCACAACGTTCACTTTTCAAACCGTTTGAAAATGTGCGCCTGAAAAAAAACTCGGCATGAAGGGGGTTACTTTGGATGGAAGATGTTTAACTGTGTATTAAAATCTAGCTATATGTTGTTATTGTAACGAGTCGAAAGAACGACTAACGGGATCGGATGGTAAGGTTCACTGACATGGTTGACAATGTCTTCGTATCCCAATTGCGTAGATCGATGCTCATGTTGTTGATCACTGGATTGTCTGGTCCATACTCGATTATTTACAGACCGTCGTCATATTGCTGGAATATTGCCGAGTGTGGCCTATAGCTAAACTCACTGACTCATATTGTTTTGCATAGTTATGCAAATAATCATCTACAACTGCAACATAATGATATAAATCAATCAAAGTGACTGTATCCGCAAGCCCTCCGAAGGTCTTCGATTGCTGCACGTGCAACCGTACAACCAACGTAAACGAAGGATCGTGTTAGGGGTTTTGGGGTATTTTCTCATTGAAAGTGAGCCATTTTATCAAAGCTGTTTTATTAGATGTGTAGAACGTTCAAAACGAAGCAGTTCAAAAACAAAACAATATATTGAATGGACTGTTTGAGATGGTGTCTGTCGGTAGCAGAGATACTATTCCGACCGCATCGAACTCTGGGTAGCAGAGTGGAGCTGTCGCTGTCTTGCGCCAACCCAAACTGACGGCAGAGGTGAAGTTCAAATACAGATCTATGACGTCAGTATTATCAGATATGACGTCACGCTGGCAGGATGACCGATCGTGCAGTCGAGTCGGCTATTATTCTTTGAATTTTACTGTCAATCAGCATCATAAACATAAAGGCTGTCTCCTCGCCGTATTTAAACTAATCACTTCCTGTGAAGACAATATGTCAAATCAACTCAATAGCTTTGCGCCAAAACTGTACAGTGAAGTATGAGTTTACGTTATAGATCAGTCTAAACAGATTTGGCGGTCTGTACTAAATTAGTTAGGTGTGAGTGATATGGTTGTGAACTAAAAAGTTCATCGTCACTCGCTTGAAGTTCAAACACCGTGCAAAAGGGTAGACCAGCGCGGTAACAACTTTCCATATCAAACTATATTTCGCAGTCAGTAGAACTGTATGAATTATGAGTCATTCGACGTTAACACTAAGGTACATGAGTTCGCTGAAGACTCATCAGAAAAAGGCAAAATATCCTTCAAAATCAGAGATTGAAGAGCTCCAGTATCCCTCAAGATAATAACGGGCCGTGGGGTAGAATTATCTCCCATGGGCGACACAGAACCCTCAGAAACAAAAGGCAAATACTCCTTCCGAACTACAGAATCTCGGGACTTACTCTCACAAAGAAAACTCTCCTCAGAACCACCTGGAAAGAAAGGCTTAGGTGCGATAGACACAAAAGCATTTGAGGTGAGGTGAGGTGAAATTTGGTTTAACGTCGTGCTTGAGAATATTTCGTTCATATGACGACGTGTATGCGTGTGTATGTGTATGTGCGGCTGCTTGTACTAGCCCAGACTTAAGCTGGTTTTATAGTGTTAGCCCACTGAGAAACCATGCCGCAGTGAAGCATGAATACCCAACATTATACTGACTCTAAGCCGACCAGTCCTTGTTGTACCCATTAATACCGAGCGCCAGGCAGGGACCAACAAGTACCACATTTTAACGCAGCCAACATCGCTGCCTCATGTAAGCCATCAACCTTATGTTCATCCAAACATGCCTTGAGATCAGAATGAACACTCTGCTTGAAATCCTCCATCAAAACTAAGTGTCTCAAACCATCAAAATCTGTGACTTCCTTAGACCCACACCACCAAAAAGTTTCCTTTTCTCTAGCAAATTCTACTAAAGTCTCATTGCCCCTTTTATGAGCATTTCTGAATTTCTGACGATAAGCTTCAGGCACTAACTCAGAAGTTTTTAAAAGTGTCCTCTTTACAAGATCATAGTCTGAGCTTTGCTGTATCGACAAGGCCGAATAAGCATCCAGAGTTTTACCCTTCAAAACAGTTTGCAGTAGCATAGACCATGACTGCCAGCAACTGTTTTCAGCAACTTGTTCAAAATGTAGAAAGCATTTGTCTACTTCTTTCTCATAAAAAGGGGGTACCAGTCTTGCGTGCCTTGCAATGTCAAAAGAGGAATGGTTTGAGGGAGGAGAAGGGTTTTCAAGCTTTTTCAACTCAATTTCTCTGTCAATTTCCAATTTTCTTTCGTCAGTTTCCAATTTTCTCAATTCTATTTCCTTTCTTTTTAGCTCTTCTTGTTTTCTATTTGTAACTGAATTTCAAGTTTTTTCATCTCCAAATTTTCTGAATTTTCTTCTTTCATCATTTCCAAAATTTCATGTTAAAGAACTCCCTCATCAATAAAGTGATTCAACACAATTTTCAAAATCTGAAATTTCCTCATCGCAGGTTTGGCCTCAAGTTTGAAATGTGAAGAAATTTGCAATAAATCTGATTTGCGCAATTCACGGACTGTCTCAGGGTCAGGGGACTTAAGAAACTTCTCAATTTCAAACACCATTTTGCTGGTTTCACAATTACCTTGTTGCAAAATTGCCGAAAATTGAAATACTTTTCACAATAGGTCTCTATCCCAGACGAGCCCCCAATTTTGTTACGGTTACAAAAGAGGCCTGACAAAAGGTTTAAGAGTCCCCTTTGAACAAGCAAAATAGAACACAGACAAGACTAAAATATTCAATAATATATTGAACAAACAATGAGCAAGCTACAATGAATCACAATACAGATTTCTAATACAATGCAATTGAGTTACAAATCTAAAGTAATGGGTCACAATATAAAATATAAACTCACCAGGGTCTTGACATTTACAGTGAGAGTAGATACACTGATTGAAGGTTGTTTACAATAACAACAGTTAAATATAGACAAACATAGAAATGTAGTTCAGACAATGACAGACACATGTACACAAATCCAGCCATGTAATAAAGTCCGTGTGTTAGTCCCACCGCACAACACTACAACCAGCCTTTACATAGCTCTTACACAGTTCTCGAGCATTCTAGTAAAGACAGGCTGCATCTTTATCCACTCAGAACAAAGCGGGAATTTTCTCGAACAAACGACGTGACAAGACTCAGAAGTAAAAACAAAATAAGCCAAGGGAGGCAACTCTGGGGCGCTATCAAAAAGGCGTACCGCTATAAATACTATTGCCATTGAACATATAAGATGCGAAATGCGAGCCAAAACCCACACTCAAAACTTTAAACATTGTGACCCATAATAACTATCACCTAATCAATGATAATACAAATTACAAAAACACACTCGCATAACACAGTGGAGCCGTAATCAAGTTTCGAGCGACCCATTGATCTATGTATGTGTAGGAGGGTAACTTAAGCCTCTCCCAAATTTGCGTTGGAAAGAACTTTTAACAAATCTAGTGCCTTCAGGCACTGTTTTAATCATTCAATATGCGGAAGAAAAGTTAAATGGGAGTCGAAAATAGACCCAAGAACGTGGCCTCCTTTACAACCGTGATGGGGGTGCCACTTAGAGATAGTTCGTGGTCTTTATGGGGTACGGCAGAAATGTGTACAATTATTTTTTGATTTAGAAAATTAA